TAATAAAAATATAACAAATAATATGAGACACGACCCATTGTCTATATTAGAACACTGACGAGCTGACGTAGAAACATAGTAAAAACGAGCGTTGGTACCGTGTATGCCAGTCTACAACAAGCGTCGCCAAAATGTAATAATTAGCACGCTGAAATAGGCTAGTAAATACTGTAAGTTTAACTGGGTTCGTAAATAATATTGGCCTCAAAATATTGTGGCTGAGACATGGGCCGATTAAATGTAGAAATAGGAAACATAGAAATATAGTAAAAACGCTAAATAGTAATACTCGAGCGTTGCCACATGCGGACGTTGGTACATGTAGGTTAGTCTACAAACGTCGCCTAAAGTAATTGATTTTACCCGGCAGAACGAAAGAAGGAAACTTCGCTTTTCAGTCGTCTTAGGCCCTTGTTTTTTGACAAACAATGACCTTTCAGAGGTCAAATTGCTGTCAAGAATATGAATTGGCTGCTTCGCAGCAATTAAGATGTGTTAATATATGTATCCATTTACACACATCCATTTCTATGATGAGAAATACTATATAAATATTACTACTTCAGGGGTGGGTTATCAGGAATACCTGGCCTAGCCCTTGGGTAGTCATAAGATCTGCCAGGGAATAATCTCTCTAAGCCAGAGACAACTGGCCCGGGAGGGCCATATTTTGGCATAATCTCAGCCATGTAGTGGGGCTGGGGCTTAGGTTGGTTTGGCCCATTTGTTGCTGAATTGCCATCATATTTCGATTCCTTTACTGTTTTAAACATCCTAGTTCTTAGTCAGTGGCACCAGCAGGGGAGAGTGGGATTTTTTGTAGCTATCATCTCCCTCGTCAGTTGTAGGAGTAAATCATGTTGGAGGAATGATGGGATGAGTCATAAGCTAAAGGTGAACAGAAGCCTATGAAATACGATTCCTCTGCGTAGATAAAACCTATCCTAGAAAGAACTAAAAAGTCAACAATCTGTTACTTGTACAGTTATTCAAGACACATTCCTGCTGGGAACCTATTTTATGTTTATGTTTTTCCATTCTGGTAAATAGTTTTATTTATTTTTTTTCTTTTGTGGGGTAAATAGTTTTCTTGTGTCATATGGTCAGTAATAGCTGATCTATGTAATTATTATAGCTGCTGCATTTCTACCAGCTTGTGTTTTGATTCCTGAAGTATTATCTTCTATATCTTTCTGATGTTTCATCATTTTAATTTTAATTAAGTGCTCCGCTTATTGCACAGAAAACATCAAGAACTATTGTAACATGTACTCTCGATTAGACATCGTACCATTTATACCAAAATCACATTTGATGTGCTGCTAAAAAGTGGCGCATAATCGAGGGATGGGCTTATTAGATCAATAACGGTACACAGAGTATGTATGCTGTTCAAAATACAAAATAAATACTTGTGAATTATCTCACACAAAAGACATGTTTAATTCAGCAGATTTTATACATTAGCATTAAGTACAATATGCTGAAGCACCATATGACCTTTGAACACAACAATTATGTACATTATTTTTTTCAAATGTACAATTTCAAAGCATAAACTCATTACAGTAAATACATTGTATCTGCCAGGATTGTAATATATACATTGCAGGGTAGTTAGTAAGTGTGAGGATATGAAAACATTTTAATCAATACATAAATTATATTCATTTAAAATTATTGAGTCTCTTAACACCATTTTATTTTTTAAATAGGTTTATCATCACATGGTGATAACATTATTGAATACCCTGCAGCATAAATGTACTTTTTGAAACTGCAACAGTATAGTATTTATTGAACGGTCCACTAATTATTCTCAGATAAGAAAGTATAATACATACTCCAAGTATTAATATTAGGCAAGACTTTTTTGTACCTTGTTTCACAAACTTATTTTTTAAATATTGTCAGAGGAGGGTGAAAAAAAATATAAAAATGAAATTTTGTTTTATTTAAGCAAATAGAATTGCCAAAACATCCAGATGGAGGAAAAATAAAAATAAAATAAAGTTTTTTTTGCTGAATGTAAACAGTGTAGTAATGGGATGGTTGAATGCTTTAAATTTATATTGGAAGATAATATACATATGTTATTTTTGAAGATTTTAAGGCAGCAGTGGGTGTAAAAAAATTTTTTTTTTCTGAAATTTCGATTTTTTGTGGCGGCGGGCATGCTAATTGTCCAAAAATATAATTATGTTTTTATTTGAAATCATAATTATTGGCGGAAAGCGAGCTCGCTAAACAATGTTTAAAAAAATCTTGCCTTATTAAACTTCTAATAAAATTTATTAACTCTAGGATTCACTCTAATGAAGCCAGGCATAAGTCATCAGATTTTTATCTGTTTGATTAAACAAATAGTATCCACCAATGTCTAAACAGTGCCAAGCCTTAACGGATAAAATATATGATATTACATAAATGGCTTCAGTTATATATTTTAAATGTAAAATATAGGATTTACAATTTTGTTTATACATGTACTATAATGTTAATTTATAATTATCTTATAATAAATATTCCAACAGGTGATAAAAAATAACTAGAGATAATATTAGATTTACAATTTGGCAAGTATATGAAACAAAAAAAGTAAAAATTTGATTTTGGAATGTTCCATTTACAGAATAGGTAGGTTTCTTCAAGCTAGTTCATAGTACTTGTGTGTTTTTGGATCAAAATAACAATTTAAGCATGGGTCATACAGTAAATCCAGCTCTTCATCACTGTCATCCAATCCTTTCTCCCCTGAAATAAATGGAATACATGTAACGTTTAATGTTAAATCAATGAGCATGGTATTGTTGAGAGTATTAACATCACCAATATGGGGAAAAAAAATTTTAATTTCTTAACATATCTAACTTTATTTTATTGCGCATGGAGATACCCATTGGCACTGTTCTCCATGAGACAATTGGTAATAGAGTAGTAAAAACATGCAAATATGAATTTGTGAAAGATTGGTTATTTTCGGGAGTTTCTTGCTTGCTTGCAGGAATTGCAAATCACAAGCATACTGCTAAGTACTCAGAGATGAAGTGAAAATTACCATCTGGGCTGAAACGATCAATTGATATTAAAGAAATATAAACACTCGGATATTCTCACCTGGTGAGGTATCCTTATCAGGTGACAGTTGGACTGCAGCTGTCTGCTCTTCTCTTATTCTCTCACTGACAGGTACAATAGGTGGGCTAAACATTTTTGACCAATCCCTTTAAGTTAAAACAAAATACCCAAAATTAGATGAAATAGTTATCCGTGTACATAATGTTACATTTTATTGTTCTTTTTTTTGCCATTTCTGTTATTATAAACATGAATTTAGAACAGTAGAGTAGGCTTATAGTTTGCATTGTAATTATTATTTCTATAATTTTAGATTAAATGGCATGTTAAACATAAATTAAATCAATGATATACATAAGTATCCACCTAGTAATATCTAGGTATATCTACAGTATTCTGTGCCTTAAAGAGATTCTACATTTCTTCAACCTAAATGTTTGATAACTTACCTTGGATTTGACTGCATAAGTGGGTTGTCTCTCGATGGTTGATGAGTATCGCCCATGTAATCATACGGCTGTATAGCTGGGGCCTAGAAATTGTAAAATAATTTAATATGTCAACGGTCAACAATAATATCAATCAAGATTTTTCTTTGTTTCAAAGTCCGACATTACAATGCCTTCAAAAAAATAAAACAATACTAACCGGTCGCTGCCACGTACTGGCTGTTGTAGCAGAATCATCACTGGAATCGCTGACATCGGCATCAATTCCATGGAAGGCATCTATATGATCTTCAGAGGAATCTTCCTCTAGGGCTTCTTCCAGTTGCTGTCTCTGGAGGCTGCGAAGCATATTGGCTTCTAAAGATGATGCAAGGGAGCTGCTGTTGGATTGGCGGTCATTTCTCCAGTCATAATCCTGCAAATAAAAGGGTAGTAACAAGCAATTTCAGATTAATTACCATATTTATTTGAATAAACGCCCCAGGGTCACTTATAGTTGAGGGTTTTGAGGAGGCGTTTATTCGATGGAAGCGTTAATTTTTCTTGGTGTAAAATAGATACGCATATACTCAAATAAACACCCCCTTAATTTCACTGTAAATCTGGAACAACACAAATACCGTATTGATCCCAACCAGGTTAGAAAAAATGTAATTCTACTGGAGTATAATATTAATAGAATGTGTTGAGAATGATCTTGCTTCTATTATTTTTGCTTACAGTCATTTAGGTGGGTGGGGGGTGGTGTTTATTTGATGGAAAAATGTACACCCTGGGGCATTCATTTCAAATGAGGCTCTGAAAAGAGCGTTATTGGAGGGGGTGTTTATTCAAAGTTGGGCGTTTATTCAAATAAATACGGTATACAATTTTCCTTACTTAACATAGGATTTTCTTTTCTTGTTGAATTTGCTATCTTTTTACTTCAAACTAACATCCCTATTATTAGCATTATTATTATTATTATTATTATCCCTATTTATTCATATACACATTATGGATTAGTTGTCAAAAACATAAAATGACTTACATCAGAGAGTCTACTTTCTAATCCTTCTACAGAATTTCCTTCTGGAACTTTATTCTCTGAAGACCCAGATGTACTTTTTTTCCCAGACGATCTCGAGTAACTGGAATTTGTAATTTTACTGTCTGATGAAAGACGAGGATCGTCTTTTGATATCTCCTTAAGCCACTTCACGCTCATCCGTGATGTGCTGTGCCTTGAATCTTTACTGTGTTTAGGGGAGCGACTTCTTTTGCCGGGACCATGCCCCTTGTGTGCTCGACTCATCCTAGGGGAATGACTTTTTTGAGGCAAGCGCTGGCTGTTATTGACATTGTCCACTGTAAGCTCTCCTAGCTTTTCACTTGGTAGCATTGATTCGTCTTCCACTCGTTTTGACGCCGAACTTTTCTTGATGACCACGTGGTAGTTGTCGTCTTCTTCCCCGCTTTGGTCGCCAAAAAAATCATCGTCCTGTGGCTTGGTAAATTGCACTTTTAGATTGTAATTGTGACCCTGTAAAATATATATTAACTTCCTAGTAAATAATAATAATAATGGTAGACTTTATGCATTATAAGCCCTTTATGCACTTCATATTAACATTACCCCAGTCATTGATTAAACACCTATGTAACAAAACATTATTAATTATACAGATATTGTTATAAATGATATAATAATTAAATTAAGATTATATTACACAATTTGTAACTCCGAAAATCCACTTTTATTGAAATGAACTTACATTTACATTCTTTTTCTCGCGTGTATCTTTCAGAGAAACATCCTTTCTGGGTTGTACAGGCCTTGGCTTTGATGTAAATGTATATAGCTTCCCATCAACAGTATCCAAACTCAGATTCTCTTTCTCCATTTCATCTGGATGATCATCATTCTGTACCCCCTCTGCCATCTTATCAAGATTCCTCTCCTGTATTGCCCCACCATTAGTTCTCTCTACCTTGCTCAAAGATTGTTTATTACTGTTACAGGCATTTTTTTCAGTTTTCTCATCATTCTCTGAGAAGCTTTCCATTCTGTGCCTGCTGTCTCGTATTTTTGACGGCTTTTTACTCCTGCTTCGTAAACTTATGGAATCGCCACTTAGCGCCAGCATATCATCTGATTCAGACATGCTGTCCGCTAGTTTACTTCTATGTGGAGAACTAGAATTGTTTTGTGCCCTTCCGAAATTTTCTGTATCATTCCAATCTTGTTTCGTTAGCCGTTCCCTAGCCCCATTCAACAGTTTTCTAACATCATCTTCCAAGTCTACTGAACTTCCAGATTCGTTTCTATTGCGTCGACTACTTTCATTATGGTCCATATACTTGTTTTTATCGTAAACTCCTCGAGCAGTGACATCTCCACTTCCACTACGCGATGAACTATTGCTGCTTTTATTCCCGCTGGAAGGACGAACTTTAACGACACGCCTTGTACCAGATTCTCTGGACTTTTCTCTCGGCGGGTGAGGCTTGCGTATTATTTCAGATTGGATGTCCCCTCCACCTGACCACGTTTTACTTCCCGATAAAGAATCTGAAAGAGAAAAATACTTTTTATTTATTCACATCACAAAGACATTCGATTCTAATTTAGCCAAAAATAATATATCCTTGGTTATAATTGTCGTCATCATTATCCTTTTCACATTGTGGGACCATACCTTTGTCAACACTTGTTTCTGCATCAGTTACCGGAGTCCCTGGATCTGACCTCTGCCGGGTGTGTTTGTTGCTGTGAACAACAAGGGTGTCCACTTGATTTCTTGATGACCGCCCTCGTGGTGACTCTGTAAAACATTATGAGAACATTGTACTGTCATACAGTTTAAACCAATTAGTGAAATAACGAAGCAAGACTTGTCACCAGTCTCTATTGACAATAGAATGGGTATGGAAAAAGATCTTTGACACACCTTCAACCCCTTTGGAAGTTCTACTGCTTCGATGACCAGCACTATTTGATCCCTGAAAAAAAAGAAGTTTTGATCATATAATTCATCATATAATTGATTTGATAATTTGAACTTTCATTCCTGCTAAACCAAGGAATAAAAGAACAAGTGGACATACTTGTCGGATTGGATTGGATTTATTCGGTGTAAACACCAAGGATAGCCCACGAAAGTCTAGAAGAAGACTTATTTCCAGTGGGGTCCGTCTGGTGGTGATTGGGCAGTACACCGGGAGACAATCCCCTACTCTTTTCCGAAGAGTGTACTGCGTTCTTTAACATGCACTTGGGCCATAAATGCACACGGGACCAACGGCTTAAACATCTAATCCGAAAGACGGTGCGCTATTGTAACATGTATTTCAGCCCTCCAGCTGAAACACAAGGAGAGGCAGTAATGGGAATTGAACCAGGGACCTAGAGATCTCCACGGTTCAGCGCACACAGTGGCTACCACCAGATTAGTCGACTGAGCTAAATTGCTCTCTTAAACCAATCTACAAAGCAGATGAAATTCTTTTAACATATAATTGATATTTGTAGATTTTATGCAACTACAGCAAATATAATGCACTGTATATTACAACTGCATAGTACTAAATAACTGTGTTAAAACGTATTGCAACATGTTTTAATACAAAAACAAGGTGTAAAGAATCCAACCACCTGCTTATATGTTTGTTCTAAGAAGAAAAGGAAAAAGAAATAACGTTATACCTCACGATTGCTTGCTGAAGTAGGTTTTTTGGTGGAGGGCGAGGAAGGCACTCGAACACGAGAACCGAATGCAATGTGTGTTGGTCCCTTATCCTTGCCTCGACTGGCATTCAAATCTGTAATGTTCAATATTTTCAATAATAATAATTATTATTTTATATGTATATAATGAGTGTAAATTATAAGAATTATTTGACACCCTCTAAATGATTGAGAAAAAAAAAATAAACAACTGATGATAGTCACATTCTAAGCATATACAAAGGGTGTCTTTCCATCATGAACAAATCTACAGCATCATTCTTTGTCTTCATAATTTATTATAAGGGCTGGTTCAGTTTTATAGTATACAAATATTTACTGGGTTGAGGGTATAGTACAGAATCCAGATCACCAAGGGCTATAATTTGAACTGTGACCCGATTAAAATCCCAGTAAATATTTTGTTATACACCACTACATAGATCAACCGGCTAGTAGGGCTGGAACTATGGCCCGGCTTTTAACCAATCAAATGCCCGGTATCTATGTAGTAGGTATATAATACCCACTACACAACTTACCTGGCTCTGACGATGATGATGGTCGGCTTCCAACCAGTTCTCCTCTCATCTTATAGTCAGCGTGACGCAGCTTATTCATGTTGATAACCTTAAAATTAAAAAGGTTTTAGAAAAATTAGTTTTATACCAGATTTAATTTAACTATTTTTGTAATTATTAACATGTGAAATCAAAACTCTGCTAAGAAACAATGTGATCTGTAATGTTAATAGTTTTAAACATTAGTAATAATTGTTTTTTAAATTTGAAAATTATTATTTATTATTGTGGTCAGTATTAATTGCCGTACTGTTAGCATTAAGTTGTTAAATTATCTCAGTACATGTTTACTTAAAAATCACCTGTGTTTGAAATGGAACGTCCTTGTGGAATTGACATTGTACTGGAATGTGATCAACCTCAGTGTCATTAGTGAGAGGAGAACAGATGTACAAATCTGAAAATAAATTAATGGATAATGAATTAGGCAGAAGAGCCATATCAGTTTTATTGATTAAAATAAAAACTATTATTAAATCTGAAGAATGATTAAATTATATTGACTTTTAATATAAATAATAATGTTATCATGTTCTGTTTCTATATACTATAATGCTTTCTACAGGATTAATGGTTTATATCTATTCTTATATTCAGATGTACAAATCTGAAAATAAATTAATGGATAAAGAATTAGGCAGAAGAGCCATATTAGTTTTATTGATTTAGTAGAGTAATTATAGAAATAAAAACTATTATTAAATGTGAAGAATGATTAAATTATATTGACTTTTGCTTTTTATAGGATTAATGGTTTATATCTATTCTTATATTCAGATGTACAAATCTGAAAATAAATTAATGGATAATGAATTAGGCAGAAGAGCCATATTAGTTTTATTGATTCAATAAAGTGATTATAGAAATAAAAACTATTATTAAACGTGAAGAATGATTAAATTATATTGACTTGTGCTTTTTATAGGATTAATGGTTTATATCTATTCTTATATTCAGATGTACAAATCTGAAAATAAATTTCAAATAATGGAATTACACAGAAGGGCCATATCAGTTTATTCATTCAGTAAAGTAATTATACAAATAAAAACTATTATTAAACAAGAACAATGATTAAATTATATTGACTTTTAATATAAATAATGGTTATCATGTTCTGCTTCTATATACTATAGTGCTTTCTACAGGATTAATGGTTTATATCTTATAATTCTAAATATTATTTCTTAATACCATATTAGTCAAGTTTTGAGGACAGTATAGAAAATACAAGCCATTATTTTCTGAAAAAAACTGCTTGAAGCCTTGCATGGGGCTAAAATAAATTTTGAAGAAAATAATATTTAAAAATAGTAAACTATGGAATTAACAATTAAATACCATCATCATCTGTGTTATCTAATGGCTGCACTTTTAAGGTGAAGATCTTGCGTAATTTACACGTAGCACTGATGGTAATGGAATCCAAGGACTTGAATGTCTGCCCTTTGAAGGCCTCACCAACAAACGATACCATATCCAAACAGAGATTTAACCACTGTAAAAAATGCATTGATGATAAATAGTTGTAGAAATTGTATATTTAATCTTCACCAATACAGTATCAAAGACCCAATACACATGTAACTAATAGCAAATAAAATCACATCTCATTTTGTATGATTTTCAGTATGATATATCTTTTGTTTACCATCCTGTAAAGCCATGTCAAGGCTATTAAATTTTATTTGACAAAAACATGTGACATGCCTAAAAATGACAAGATGACATCACATCATGACCATATATAGGCATATCATGACTATATATGGGCATACAACAGTTTTCTGTCAAAAAAAATTGATAATCTGGACACAGAGTGGTAACTATCATTTATAAAAAAAATATCAAGATTACCACAGCTTTCCTCAAAATTGCAAGAGGAATCTTGGCATGCAAGGGTGTGACAGAAACTTCTTTATGGGAAGTTGACAGCACAATACGTCTCTTGTTATTACACATATCACAAATCCTATAAAATAAAAGATAAGATAAGATAACTTTACTATTCCACTAATGGAAACTCTTTGCTCTAATAAAAAGATATTTTATTAGTAACAGATCCTCAGACGTGATCTAAATGAACATGTGTAGTAGCTGCATGATATACAAATAATTAGGAGAGGTAAGTGGAGGTGTGGTACTGTAGTTTTATGTTTAAGATGCTTGCTGTTCGATAATCCCAAGGTTGTAGATCCAAACCACTACCAATTTTGTTTTTCTCCCAACTAAATATACTCCTTTTTCAAGCCTTGTTATAAGGCTTATAGAACATAAAGCATAGTTCCATTCAGGTGGACAAAGTGCAGCCCGAGGGGCCAGGTGTGGCCCGACGGTGATTTTGTTGTGGAATGCGAAAATAAATTAAAATTCCTATGTGTGCAGCCCGCCAACAATCATGGGCTAGAAAACACCTTGTTTTGTATGCCCGACACCGATCACAACAGAAAACAGAATATTAATTTTATTTATTTATTTATTTATTTATTTCAACAATCTTTAATGAGGGTGGTCCATCCAGCCGAAGCTGATCATTAGGGACCCTCAATACACATAGTAAGACAAAACAAAAGAGCGTATTAAACTAATTAAATTACAGTAAAATAAATAACAACCTCTCAATACAAAATTTACATAAAGAATTACTTCAAAATTAAATAAAAAACTTAATATAAAAATTAAAATAAAATTACAATTAAAGATGTAAATGAAAGAGCAATATTAAAAAACAATAGGCAAAGGGACATTAAAACAACAAAGGGAATAAAGTAGCCTAAATAAAATAAAATAATCAAATAAATTTATAATAGATAATAGGCCAATGTATATGAGAACTATAAATCAAATCACTCTTATTTTAAAGAAAATAAATCAATTTAAATTAATAAATAAAACAGAAAATAAATAATAAGGTAGAAATCAAAAAATGAATTCTCAGTGCAAAAGGCCAAAGAAACAGAATTACAGGAGAGAAAGAAGGAGGTAACTTTTGAGGGACGATTTAAAGGAGGAGTAAGTAGAAGCATTGCGTTTAAATATCATTGTTTAACACTTACCCTAATTCAACAGAGAAATCCTGACCAAGCGATACAAACAGCTGAATTACAAAGAACCTCTGAATCAAACACACTTAAAATAAAGAAAGATAAATACAATGGTGTTAGAAAATTTGAAATAAGGAGTAATTAATTTGCATATCAACAAAATTTTAGGTTGGGAAGGGCAGTATTTTTTTTTTTTAATCCATCTACAGTATCAGTAATCCATGATTCCCACTTGGTTTATGTAGTACCTTAGCAGTGGCATGCCTAGGCACAACTTGAATTGCATAGGCTACAAAATCACACATACCCACTAAGCTTAATCCTATATTTGTACTTGATGATGATTTCTTAAATTAACTAAACTTAACTTAAACTTAACTAAAATATATTGATTTTGATTAGCAAGTCTTGGACAAACTTCGTATTTTTTAATTTAAAAAAGTTCCCACTTCTCTACTCGTTATTTTGGGTCGAAAATTTTGGTGGGAGGGTTGGGGGAGGGGGTGGTGAGGCTAAACAAGCATATTTTTTATTTTGGCCTAACTCTAGAAAGTCACATGTAGAATCATGATGGCTTGTACAATGTCTTTGGAGCTTGTCTTTCTTATAAACACTTTGAAATGAGAATTCAGCAAAATCTTAATTGGATTTCAAGAGGAAACAAACAATACGCTGGTCTTCTTATGAGGACTAACAAAAGATGTAAACATAATCAAAGTTTCCCTATCAGCAGACTAATGTAAGGATTGATGAGTTAAATGTATCAATCTTAATCTATTGATTGATTACTTACATGCATGCTTAGGATCTTTAGGAAGCTGCATCTTGGTTGAGGCTGTTGACCCCTCCACTACATGGCAATAGCTTTTGATCTCCTTATCATAGACCTGTACAAATAAAGATGGCAGATACATTTTAGGTGATGAAGATGAAGATGAATTATTTAACAAATTAAAAATTATAACAAATTAAAAATTAGTGTAAATTATCGGTTGTTAGTTTTAATTAGTGAATCATAGTAACAATTTGGTATTGTTTAGTTATTGGCATAGATGTACATTGCTTCTTCAATTAAAATTAGAGATACAGTAAATGCATCGAATAAAAACCTTTTTAAAAGAGGTTGCTCCACCAGAAAGTTTCCATTTTGCAAGTGGTTCTTTGCCTTGTGAACTGAACACATCCACATATGGTCCACCCTAGCAGAAAAAGTGAGTTATAAAAACAAGATCAATTAACCAATATCAATAAATAATAGTACAATACAATTTTATTTGGTACTTTTTAAAAGCAATAAAACTTACTTGAAATTCATTTTTGAACATGGTGATGGTGACTGCCGTTGGTACTGTTCTCTACCTGTTTAGGAGTAATATGATCTGTAAAAAATTATATATTTTTCAGAAAACTCTGTGTAATATATTAGTACTACTAACAGGCTTACTCTAGCCTAGGGCTAGGCCTAGTTCTCGCTATATTACCTTGTGTGGACACTGGCCTGCCTCTGTCAATCAAGAATGCAAAGGGCCCAGCCCTGCCAGGCCTAAAAATTATCGACGTTACTCCACTTACTGAATTTATAATTTGTTCATATATTTAGGATAATATGCATTGTACGAGCAAATAGTTAACGTTATACATTATGAAATATATAATTACTTAAATTACCATTTTTTCAACAAGTTTTTATGTGTTGCAAAACTCCAACAACTGTCTGCGGAAGCCATTTGTTTACTGTGGAGACGAAATTTCATGGTTGGGGGCAGTGTTTCCAAACGAAATTCGAAAGAAAGGACTGCTGTTCGCACGGTACCGTGCGAATATTTTTTTTTCCTTTTTCAAAATGGCTGCGTACATGAATGTAAGACCTGCCGGTGATGAAGATTTTGACTCAGATGATGACGGCTTTAACTTTGACAATGCCTACTCTAGTTCTACTTCATTTAACGTAAGATAACATTAAGAATATTTTTATAAATTATAGTGCACAATTTTCGTAAAAAATAGGGCCTAGGCCTGGGCCAGCACGCACGCACGGGCGCTACTAGTTAGGCAGCAGGCTGGGATCGGCTTAGCTAGGTAGGAGGAGGCCTCCCTAGCCTAGGCCTTCTGCTTCTAGAGGACTAGGTAGGCAAGGCCTAGGCCATTCTACCTAGAGAGGGAGGACCCTACCTAGGCTAAGCCCTTCAATCCTTCCTAGACCTAATAACTGAATGCAATCTAGCTGTCTAGCCAGACCATGCCCATGTGGTGCCTAGCCTATAGGCCTAGTTATCTTCTCTAGCCTAAGAGCACATAGTAATAGAAAAAATTATTAGATTATCACTTTAAAAAAACAAAAAATCGATGAGGGAGGGCGGTTTTTTGTTTTGTTTTTTTTTGTTTTTAATTGGAACAATAGATTTTTTCACTTCTGTTTTTATCAATTAGGGAGGGACTGTTTATATTTTAAAAAGTGGCTTAATTTTATAGTTTTTTAAAGAATATGTATTTGAAGTCACAAAATTGCATTGTTATTTTTATGCTGTTAAAATAATTGATGCGGCAAAATTTTTTTTTTTATTCCCGCATCAATATTTTCCGAATTTTTGATGCGGACTGGAATGATAATCTAATAAATTTTTCTATTTGCTTACTTATCCATTTAAAAAAAAGTGCTATCGGCAAGATACTCCAATTTTTTAACAATTTTCAGAAGGGTGGTTTCAGCCCAAAAAGGCTGAAATTTTCGATTTGGTCAATACGTATGTGCCCATCGCATTGATTAATGTCTTAACAAACTTACAGGTAGTTGGAAGATTGAACAAGCTGATATTGGCTTTGTGCATTTTGTATTTTTAAAAATATTGTGTGTTTCCCTGAAATTTATATACATAGGACATACCACATTTGGAATCAGAGACCAAATTTACAATTGGTTCACCACCTATGGACACAAAGGACGCCTCCAAAAACCAGCTGCATTATAAAATGCCTCAGCGTGATAAGCAAGGCTCTTTATTGGTTGCAGATGATCTGAGAACAGCCATTTCGAAAGGAAATTTGGATGAAGTTAAGAAGTTCATACAAGAAGGTACTGTATGTTCCTTTCATTAAAATATTTTATGTAAAGTCAGGCATACATTTGTCTTTCAAACACACGGACAAGCACTCGTAAAACATGGTGATCCGATTCAAATAAAAGGCCTTTCTTTCTACATTGGTCGAGAACAATACAATCAGCAAAGCGATACAGGAGATTTTAACTTCACTAAAAACTGAATTAAAACTTAATTACAGTACTGCTCAAATAAGCGCAGCGGCGCTTATACAATTTTTGGATGCTTCAATGCAGCAAGTATTCGAGAGCGGCACTTATTCGTCTCTAAATAAACTTTCTCATTGGTGGCGCTGTCCAGAAT